ATCAAATTCAGAAAGGTAGGAAGATGTAAATCCAACTTCAGTACTAAAAATCACATATTCCATCTCTGATTCTGTGTACCAACTTGGAGTTGGAATCTGTATGTGCTGGAATAAATATGGAAATGGACTACATATAACAACTTTATCATATTACTCACAGCTTTGTCAGGCCTTTCATTGCAGAAGTAGCATGGTGGAATGAATTTTTGTGTGTATTGATATTAATGCCCCGTTTGGTAGGGATTTTTTGCCTCAAAAAATTGATTTTTTTACCGTTATTTTACTATTCAAGCCGTAATTTTTGACTTCTTCTCTCACATGTAGACCCCACTTTTCTTCTAACGGTCAAAAAATAATTCTCAAAATGCCTACCAAACGGGCCCTAATTTTAGCAATAATACAATCAATTAATAATACACAAGTTGAAAGAAAAGAAGGAAAAACAATCTGCCTATTAAGGAAACAAAATAATAACCAATTATCCTAAAATACAAAATCTCTGATTAATCACAATTTCCATCCCAAATGATTTTTCCATACTTGGACGTTTTCCGCACTCTTCCTCAAGTTGGACTATAGATGTTGAACAAGTTCAGCTTGCGATTGAAGTCATCGATGACTTGTCTGGATAACCCTTTGGTGAAGATATGTAACGTTTGCTCTCTGGACGGAACATATGTCATACAAATAATTTCGTCATCCACATTTTCCTTGATAAAGGATATATCTACTTATACATGTTTGGTTCTATCATGTTGCACTGGATTGAGGAAAATGTTAATTGCTGCTTTGTTGTCACTATAAAGTTTGATTGGCAATTCCACTCCAACTTTCAGTTCTTCTAAGAGTTTCTTTATCTATAATCTTTTACATATTCCTCGTGCAACTGCTCTAAATTCATCTTCTATGCTGCATCATACAACTAAATTCTATTTCTTGCTTCTCCAAGTTACCAAATTTCCCCATACAAAGGTGCAATAGCCTGAACTAGACCTCCTATCTTCTGTTGATCTACCCCAATCTGCATCAATGAATATTTCTACTCCTTTGCGTTTATTTTTCTCGAAGAATAGTCCTGTCCAGAGATGCCTTTTAAATATTTGGGAGAATGCATATGCTGGCATACCACGCTGACTACAAAAGCTATATTAGGTCTCGTTTGTGAGAGAGAATAACTTCTCAACTAGTCTTTGATATTTGTTTATTTCCACTGAGTTCCCTCTGCCCTTTGACAATTTTTCTACCTCAAGAGGTGTGCCGCTTGGTTTGCATCCCAACATGTCAGTTTCGATTAAAAGGTCGAGAATGTATTTCCTTTGGGAAACACTAACACCACTCTTTGATCGTGCAAATTCTATCCCCAAAAAATATCACATTTGTCCTAGATTAACGGGTTCGGTATGTATTGGTTCAGATGGGGAAAGATCAATTTCTAAGAATTCTAGATTTGATAACCGATCTTCACTCATATTCTCCCCCTGAAGATGAGGTGTTTTATAGTAGGGGGTGTTTTCGAATAAAGTTACGTCGAGGCTGACGTAGATTTTTTGTTGGACGGGTTATAGCACTTGTAGCCTCTGTGTGGGTATCCAAGGAACACATATTTGATTGCACATGGTTCAAGTTTATTTCGAAGATGAGAGTGGTTGTGTACAAAAGTAGTACTTCCAAATACTTTGAGAGGTAGATTTGAATAAAGGTGGGAGGCCAGGAAGTGCTATTGGAGTCCATGTACGAGTGAGTTGAAGGAGAGAGTTCGACTAGGCATTCAACTGATGAGATATGCAGAAGTTAAAATGGCATCCCCAAAATGTCTTTAGCATGTTTGTAGTGAACATTAAAGCACGGCAACTTCGAGTAGGTGTATTTTTCCGATCAGCAATTCCATTCTATTGGGGAGAGTTGACACATGAACTTTGGTAGACTGTTCCATATTTTTTTAGATAGTCTTGTAATGTAGTATTAAAGTATTATGTGCCATTGTCAATGCACAGAATTTGGAGTGGTGTTTGAAATTGGGTTTGAATCATAGAATGAAAATTTATGAATACGACATGAACATCCATTTTTTCTTTTAGGAGGTAAACCCAACATACTGGAGTGTGGTCGTCTATAAATGTGACAAACCATTTCGTTTAGGTCCGATTAGGGTAGCGGGAAGGACCCTATAAATCATTGTGAATCAAGACGAAAGGTTTAGATGATTTGTACGTGGAAGCTAGAAAGGATGTACGCCTATATTTTGCAAACTCACTTCACATTGAATCTCAACATAAGTTTCATTATTGAAAATGGAAGGTAATACATGTTTTATGTATTTCAAGCTAGGATGTACTAATCTATTGTGCCTTAACAAAAGTTCACCATCTCTAGAAGTAGATGCAGAATTACAGCCTAGTCTAATATATGATCTGGTTTACTCATATTACCTTCCTCAAAGTAGTATAATCCCTCAAACTCCTTAGCACAGTCAATCGTCTTCCCCGATGAAAGGTCCTAAAAGATACAGTAAGATGGAAAGAAATTAGCAAAACAATTAGAATTTTTTGTCAACTGTCTAACAAATAACAAATTACAGGACAAATTTGGGACATGAAGTACCAAATTCAGTGTTATGGACTCAAGAAATTCGAATACTCCCTTGTCCTACAACAGATGAGAGTGAGCTATATGCAATTTTTACTTTAATGTTTCCTGCACAGGTAGTGTAAGATAAGAATAGGTCCAGTGGCGGATGCAGGTACTAGCCAGCTAGGGCGACCAAGAACTAATTTTTTTTGTTGGCAACAACTAAATAATTTATATTATATAATTGATAATTCATTTTATGTACAAACATTCTATGTAGCTGAGTTGGTTGGAGCTACCAAATCAAATTAGAGCTCACAGGTTTGAAACACTTCCAAAGCAATTTGTGTTGCAAATTTTCTAATTCAACAATTTTCACCAAAAGTAATGCAAAAGAAGCAATTTGAACCTAGAACCTTCTTTAAGATTGTTGAGGACTTGACCACTGTGGCACTATACGGGTCCTGGCACTCAATGTAACAAAATTTTACATGTTCTTTGAAAAATTTAATGCAATTAAAACGATTCGAACATTCTCTTCTTTTGGACTATGCAAAGCTTGACTAGTGGGACAGTATTGAATTTTGTTGAATTTTATCACAAAGTTAATATATCTTCATTTTTAGCAAAATAATTGTTATATTTAATTTTAAATATTTTATTGCGACAGACGAAAATGATCAACCACCGCTCGTGCTCACTCAAAATGTTGGATTAGCCCCTGAATAGGTGATATGAGTCCGTCATGTAATCGGACGCACCGAAATCAATAATCCACAAAGTGTTTTATCGTGAGGTGCTAAAGGCTCTAAGAAAGTTACCTTTGTGAGCAAGCGAGCTAGAAGGCCCTTTAGGGGGCTGTTGACAGGTGTTTGAAGGCTCGAGAACATTTGGTAAAATTGCTCTAGTTGTTCTGAATTGAAAGCGCCACCAGAAGTCCGATTATTTTTTGTTTCGGTTTGATACCCTGGCTCCTAGTATTTTTTTTAGGTTTCCAATCAATGAGTTTTTCGTGAATTTCCCAACATGTGTCTTTTTTATGTCTCGGCCTACAACAATGTTCACACCAGGGTCGTCCTTGCAATTTTGGGTTGGATCCATCAATACTTCCTTTTGATGATGGCCCAAATTTCTTCCTCCAAGTCCAGCTAGCCCAAATCCACCAGAAGTGTTATTATCTAACCCAAATTCAGCAAGCCCATGTAATTTACCACGCCCAGTCCCAGCAAGCCCATTTATTTTAGAAGACCCAGTCCCGATACCCTATTTCTCGATCCATTATTTCTTAAGTTTTGAGATCTGCTTGCGGCTAAGGCAGACGCGTCCCTGGAGCTCTCCTTCATCATCACTTGCCGACGTGCCTCTTCACGTAGAACACTTCATGAGTGAGTGGTACTAGTCGTCGACCCAATATCCGAACATCATCGAGTTCACGATATAGCTTTACCAGATATTCGTATACTCTTTCATTTTCCTGCTTCTTGAATAAGGTGCAGTCGTCTCCACATTTCCACTCCTCTCCACTGAGGTCTAATTCTTGCCAAAGAGCAGTCATTTTCATATAGTAATTGGTTACGTCTCTCAAACCTTGACGGGTCTGCCACAATCGAGTTTTAATCTCAAAAATATGTTAGAAACCTTTCAAATCAGAGTAGGTATCTTTCACTGCGTCTCAGACATCTTTTGCGATAGGGAGAAAGAGGTACGTCTTTCAGATTGCCAGTTTCATGGAATTCACCAACCAGGTGGTTACAATGGAGTTTTCGAACCTCCAAACTTGCAACATGACACTCTCGATTGGTCTCTTGGTCTCGCCAATAAGATAACCCAATTTCCTTCTACTGTCGATTACTAATTTTATAGATTGGGCCCATTCTCAATAATTCCTTCCATTCAATTTCTCCACCATGAGTTGGAAGGAAGAAATCTCTAGCCCATTAGAACCGATTGAGGAGATGGCCTCTGCTTCGAATTCAGACGTTGCAGAGGTCGCCAACTCTCCCTACTGTTGGCAGTGAATTCTGCCAATGAGTTACTAGGTTAGAGAAACCTAGGCTCTGATACCATGAAGACAATGTTGGAATGAATTTGTGTATTGATATTAATTCCAGCAATAATACAATCAATTTATAATACACTAGTTGAAAGAAAAGAAGGAAAATTAATTTGCCTAATAAGGAAATAAAATAATAAACCAATTATCCTAAAATACAAAATCTCTAATTAATCACAATTTCCATCCCCAATATTTTTTCCATACTTGGGAAGTTTTCTACATATTCATTTGCCACATAAATATTACGCAACCGTGTATTATTTTGCATGTATACATACATACATATATATATTACACACACACGTATATATATAAATAAGTATGTATTTCCCCCCAAACTAGTCAATGAAGACATTTGGAAGTAATGACAGAATACCTTTCAGTGGAAATACTTTCCCAGAGGGTGTTCGACCTGCAGGAGTGGCAAGAGCTAAACCCCGAGGATCAAACATGTACAAGCAGCCATCAGATATGACTGATAGCAGATCACTTATGGAGAAACAGCTTAATAATCCTAAGCCGTAGTTGAGAGTATCTCCCCTTACACTCCATGGTGGAAGAAACTGGAGACTAGCAACTTCATCTCCACTTAATCTGACCCCTTCTAGGATGGCCACCAGTGCAGGCCCTTGAAATTCACCTGCATGGGTAGCAACTCAAAATATAGGATTCAGCACAAATTCCTAGCAACAGAACTATAGAAAATACTAAAGCATAGGTAGCAGCAACTCAAAATATAGGCGCAATTTCATAGCAATCAAATTATAGATAACATTAAGCACATTATCAAAATCAGCTAAAAGGACACCAGATAAATGGCTTCTATCTGGTCCATCGCAAGCTATCATTCCTTGCATCTCAGGACAAGTTAGGGGGTAGCAATGGGCAGAGCCACCCGGCCCACGAGCTGGCTACTTTTTTTACTTATTATTATTTTTCTTAAAAAAAATAACAAAATAAGCACAAGAACAAGCATAAATTTAAAAAAAAAATAATAATAATAATAAAGTAAGCCAAAAAAGGATCCGGCTTGTGGGCTTCAAGAACCGAGCTCGCGAGCGGCTCGACCTGTTTGCCACCCTAAGACCAATTATACAATGTCGGGGGTGATAAAAGAACCCCAAGACACACAAGTTTAGTTGTCTACAATCCACTATCCTGTTAAAGTTCTATAAATACAATGTAAAATTGATTACCAAGATTGTGCTGCAGCAGAGATTGACGTGGATGTTCCCTCTTGTCAAAAACGAGGTGAAGTTTTTTACCCTTGCAGCAGTCCGCCAATTCAAGTAAGTCAAAAAGAAGAAACTCAGTGTTTCCATATAGTTCCAGTAGCTCACATATTTTACTATAGTCCATACATGGAACATCTTTCGTCATTTCTTTACTGACTAGGGAAAGGCAACGAAGCGACTGGATTCCCAATCTGGTGGCGAGATCATAGCCGATGGAGGGATGAACAAAGCGCTTCCTGACAGAGGTATTGGTCTCCATCCATGGTGCATCATTATAAACAAGCTCTCCTGCAGCTGCAAGAACCCCAGAAGAATCTGGAATAAGCAGCATATGAGGACCTTCACGTACCAAACCATCCAAGTACTTATCTGCGATGGTTTCTAGTACACATTGAACAAAACTCAACTGATCAGACGAGAGGGCACAATTTCTTAAATCATTTTGCACACGTTGCAAGACATGAAAATAGTCAAAAACATCAAAACTACGTCTAACGCCTAATGCCAAAAGCAAGTCCTGGAAAATTGATAGCTCAGATGGTACAACATACAAGTAGGGGCTAAATTTCACAGGGGAATCAAATGCAAGTGCATCTGGGGCCACAAATTCATCTCCAATCCAAACCCAGTGAACACCATTCAAGGAAGTTCTCAGAAATTGAAGATCATCAGTGTCAATGCATTCTTGCAAACTTGAATAGATTAATGGTATCTGCTTCTGCAGCTCTGCAATAAAATGCAACTTGAGCTCAGTATAGCATTGAGATAGTGCAACTAATTGCCCAGACAAAATTTCTACACCTGGACTATTCATCCAACCAAGTTTGAGCTGTAAACATTCAGAACATTCACCATCCAGTATATGCAACTTAGATGAAACAATCCACATCTGTGTTTCTGGTCTGACCTCATCTGGTGCTGCTACTTGATGGGCTGAGGCTAACCATGGAAGCCCCTGAACTTGCGGATTAGTATATACAGGACACCAGCTAATAGTCCTAAGCTCTGACCAAAACTCTTCTCTGTTCATATCATCGACTAAGTTGCTGACAATTACCCTGATGTCCAGGCCATCTTCATAAAGGTTCTCCATGGACAACTCTTCCTCACCTCCAGTAAGAACATTCCGTGGAGATTCTGTAGCATCTACACAATCAACACACACTTCCACATGCGAGTGCTTTAACGCAACTGCATTCAAACATCCAAGCAGCCTCCTAGCATAAACTCCTGTTTCTAAGTCCCTTGAATCGTGTAACATTGAGACGGACCTAGCACAATCAAGTAGACCAGTAAGACCTAAGCTTTGATGAAGTCCAAAATTGACTAAAGTTTCCAGAGTTTCAGGGCCGGAGAAGTTCTCAGAGGGGAAGAATGCTCCTTTGTGCAGTAACAATTTTAGTTCAGGAAACCGAGGATCATAAAACCTGCCAAACAGAATATTTCATGTTATAACGTGTCTACAAATATAAATTTGGAGCTTGAAAACTACAAACACTGAAAATACACAAGCCAATCTATGCACTGTGTGGGATATATTCCTTCCCCCTCTACACACTATAATTTGTAATTGTACTGCGGGAAACAGACCCTTTTGCAATGTAAGTTCTTCTACATTGAGAAAAGGTATACAAAGACTTGCAAAAGAAATTGTCCAAGAGTCTCCATTAAATAAAATTGGAGGATTATAAGTTGCCAATTCATGATCAGACTGAAGATTGTGCCCAGCCTTTATTTATTTATTGTGAACAAAAGATCATCTGATGAGAAATTTACCAAGTCACTTTTTACTCAACATCCTCTCTTCCGTGTTTTCCCCTTGTTCATAGAGCAGGCCTCTTCCTTTCTTTTCAATTTTTTTCTCAAAACATAGCATACGCCCATTGGTTAGACGCTTGAGCACTTAATGAACAGAGTGATAAATATGCATTTACCAGCATACTACATAAAGACTGTGTCATTCAGCACAAACACAACTAAAATTTGAATTATTTGATATTACAATTAATACTTTTTTTTCTAAATCATTTGACTTACAAATGATTAATTGAGGTAAGTAGAAGACAATGCTTTGTCATCACTAATCCCTATTTTGAATATAAACTGACAATCTGCTAAGGAATTAAGAAACAAACCTATAAGGCTCTTTCCAGGATCCATCAGATGCCTGAACAAACGGTGTTGCAGAAAACACTGCTTTGCAAGTGTTCTCCTCCTCAATGAGGAACCTGATATCACTCAAAATGGCTGGGAGAAAACCTTCCTTAGAAATGAACTCCGGCATGCGGTTAAGTACATAATCTTTGTAGAAATTCACCCTTGATGGTTCTTCAATCCCTAAATATTTTTGCAGTATCGTTCTTTCTTTATCTGAATCCACTCTTATGAAGTCATCATCCAAGAGATAATCTGGCACAGAGTCCGGTTTAAGCCATTTGAGGGATCCACTTAGAGATACAAGTGTTCTACTTTTGAACGACTCAAACATGGGAAGGTGCTTGATAATATTAATATGGCTGTTTTCCATCAAGTCTTCCGAGAACCACTTTGACTGGAGAATAAAACTCCTAAGTTCATGCAAGCCCCCATCCGAAGCATCACCAAAGAGCCCCTCAATGTTACCTGGCTGACCTGCGACTGCCAGCAATGCATTTAGAACACCTATTGCTGTTGAAGGCTGCACATAATGTTTCAATTGTACATGTTCTATGGGGATGTCACGCCTCAATATCAAGCATCCAGCTCTGTGCAACAAAGATGACAAATTCTCACTCCACCCACCATCTCTGACCACATTGGAATTTTCAACAAGCCGCATGAGATAATTATTTTCAACTGGCAAGATGGGCCACTTAGAAAACAAAGAAATATCATTGCAACATGATCTCAGATAGCTCCAAAGAAGTCTTACCCATTCCAAACTAGGATGACCTTGATTACCAGGGTCCCAAGTTACCTGCGTAGCACAATGCCATTCTGCAGGGAGCAATCTCACAAAGAGCTTCTCAAGCAATGGACATGTCAGGATATAGAGGTTGAAGTCTTCAGTTTCAGCTAGATCACACAACTTGCTGTGAATAGAAGCAGCAATCCCTGAGTCTACAAGTTGATGTGGAACTAAATCCTTCAGAAGATCATATCCCTCTCCCTGAGTAACATATATTTGTTCACTCGACCCTTTTCTCTCCAATTTCGCAAATAAACCATCTGAAAGGGGTATCAAGGGTAATCCATAGAAACTGTTTGACATAACTGGAGTTCGTAGGTCAAGCAAGCAGTATTCAAGAGTCAAGATCATTGCATTTCTATCGCTAAATTCACGTCTCCTCCGAATTAACAAGGTTCGTAGTAATTGAGGAGTGAGAAAATGCAGTGATGGACGGATTTCCATAAATTTATCAACAACCTCCTTTGGAACAGTTGCCATAGGTAAACCGGCATCTGATAATGCTTCTGAAAGTTCCCAAGCCTTGTCAAAAGTGTAATCTGGGAAAATGGCCTGCTTGGTTGAAATCCACTGCCCCCCTCTGCTTTTCGTGTACAACACCTGAAGACCACTATCAGAAACAAACTGGTAGAGTTTCCGTACCAGTGATATCCAAGGCTCAACAGCTCCTGCTATTGGCCAAAAGGAAAAAAAAAGATCACTTGGGCCGATATCAAGAGCAACTTTCTCAAGCAGATGACCATAAGCTGGAGCAACAACTTCCTCAAGAAGGAAAATGTTCCAGTCTGAGCGCATTTTCCCACCCCCTGCCATGTCATCACCAAACCATATATCCCTGCGGTTTGACGACAACTCAAAATAGGCATTAACATGAACTGGCAAACCAGTATTAATTGGCAGAGGTAAGAAACAAAAAGCACGACCTTCAAAAGTCAATGCGCTTCGAGTAGAAGCTACAGGTACCTCAAGAATGTCAGAGGTAACAAGAAAAGATTCCTCCAAATTTGCCTCACTGCCATCCAACTTCTTCTCAATCTCCACAAATTGCAAAGGTGTAGCTACACAGGCCCAGGGGGCAAACTTGTAAAATTTTTTGTCAAAATGTTTCTCAGGGGTTGATTTATTCTTATCCCGGAAACTACCTAAGCATTCAATCGTCAACCACAAACGCGAACTACAGCCAGATGGACTCTGTTCAGACATCAAAATCTTCTGAGACATCCATGGCACATCTTTATCAATGGTTTTGCTCAACTTGTTAAGGAACTGATCCTTACCCATTTGATCTTGCTGGTTACCGTACATGTAGCTGAAAATGTGATTAAATGGATTGTTTTCAGCTTCAGGCTCACTAACACAATTCTTGCGAACGGAGTGTAGTAATTGCATTTCACTATCTGGCCCTTCTTTGACAAAAATGGATATTGTTTTTACATTTCGCAGAAACAGTAGCGTCTCACCAACAACCTCAGAAAAGGAAGAGAATAGTGATAGTACATCAGCAGGCGCATATGCCTCTTTCTTTATTTGGCTTCTGGAGGCAACACTTGTAGACCTAAGTGCAAAACGAAACAATGTACCAGTAAATGGATGCTGTAAATCACATCCAAAGTGCAGAAATGGAGAAAACTGATCGGGAAATTGTTCCAAAACATTTTTACCCACAAATTTGATCCGGAGGCCTGGGTGAGAAGGAGAAATTCCAGGCAAATTACAAGCATGTGGATCAAACATCACAATATTTTCTCCCGAAATAAAAGTTGGAATGTCTGTAAAGTGATAAACACAATTAAATCCCAGCCCAAATCTTCCAATAGCAAGTGGCTTCTCCAATTTGCTCTCCTGACCAATGCGAGAAATAGCATATAGATCTTGGGGGCTGAAAATAGAGTCATTGAAACAATACAAAGCTGGACCCTGCCAATCAGCCATTTCAGGAGAGAGAAGAGATGAAGTCCCATACTGAGTTTTGTCCAATAAAAAGATCACATTAGATGCTCCTGCATCTTCAGCATTTTGTACGAGCTCAAAGAGAACTCCAGGCCCATCAGCATACATTTCAAGTATATGTCTAAGTCTGGTAGTCAACGATTCATGCTGTCCAAATGCTTCAGCTGCTCCAGACAAGCTCAAATTCATCGAGTCAGCACTCTCAGCAAGCAAAATCCTCCGGAATGAACGTACTCCAAGCTTTTCAGCAACATCATTAGAAATGTCCCCATGAATAAACTTATGAACAGCTTGCTTAGCACTTAAGGAAATATTTGCATTACAAAATAAGCTGTCAGAACCTTCGGAATCAAGCAACCAAGGAGCATCATTATATACTAACTCAGCAGCATTATATAGTCTGCCTGATACATCTGGAAGATATATATTAATTTGAGTTTCATTGTAGTGAGCTCCAGCCAGATGTTGAGCAATCATTATAACAGCTCGGAATTCCTGAGTATCCAGAGGAACAGTACCCTTATTTTTGGCCATTCTACCTAATATATTAGCATAATCAGTATGCCGTAAATATTCCCGAATGCCAAGCACCAAAAACAAGTCACTGAAAACAGCTAAATCAACAGGTATAACGCGAATATAGGGAGCCAAATGAAGAGGACCATTAAGGACAACCTCATCTGAAGTAGCAAACCCATCTCCAACCCATATCCATCGGCAACCTTCTAGAACAGCCTTTACAATATCCATCTCATCTGAACCAACAAAGCCCATCAAAATAGAGTATAATCTGGGCATTGCTAAAGTCAATTCTTTCCAAAGCAATGTGTCAGAGACAATCTCATTGTTTTTCCCAAGCTCAAGCAATTGGGCAGAAATTACAGTTGCTCCAGGAGGTGAGGACCAGCCAAGTTGAAATGATAATGCAGAAGAAGAGCACTCTCCATCTAGTATCCGCATGCTTGCAGAAACAAGCCATATGTCTGAAGATAGCCTCACAAGTTTAGGAGGTGCAACCATAGATGAGACAGTAGGCCATGGTAAAGACCTATGGAGAGGGGAAATAAGGACAGGGCACCATGAAATCAGCCTGAGATCATTCCAGAACTTCTCTAAGTCAGATTTTAAATGGCGAGATTTAAATGCATTTGAGGCTCTTGAGAATATTTGATTCACTGTTCCATGATAATCCTCGGGTGTATCAGGTAGCCACTTTAATGCATTCACCTCCAGAAAGGAAAGAAGCACCTTTCCACGTGAATGCGCTTTTTCCTGACTTTCTCGCATTAAGTGTTCCACATTACGAGCACTTTCTATGACTGTATCAATAGACACAGTTGTCTTGAGCCCCAAACCTTGCAACATGTCCAAAATTCCTGATTCCTTGAAAGGCGGACAAGGAAAAGTATCAGAATCTTCCAGTAAAGCAAACAATTCCTCGTTTCTAGGATCATATAATGTTGCTGGACATTTTAGAGCTCCACTACTCGTGGGAACAAATTCTAAATTTCTCAAAAGCTCCCTAAAAGATGCATCCTCAACACATAATTGCGGTAGCTCTTGAATAATAGAAAGCATGACACCATCACGAACATCAGTTTCCAACTGCTTTATCCTATGCAAAACATGCTGCTTGAAAAATTGTGCCTTTCTCATTCGTTTGATTCCATGGTACCTAGTTAGCATCTCTTCTTCAGTGTTGGATAAATTACAGAGGAAGGTGTCAGAAAACAGGCACTCTGGGCAATCAGATGGAGGTAAATGCTTACAGGGATTTACTAAATCGGAATAGTTGGAATTTTCAGCAGCTTCTCCACCATAAAATCTATAAATTGGAAGCCACTTGCAATTCTCTACGTGAGAATCATCCATTTGCTTTCCAACATACCATGTGGGATCCAGAAGAAATCTGCGAAGCACATCCTTCTCCTCTGCTTGCAAACACTGAAGAAGTTTACTAATGCCATCTTTAGTCAAGACATCAAATATAGAATTTAAAACACCAGCGCCATCAGCCTCATACATATAGTGAAATATATCTGAATGTTCAACGCAATATTTGGTGTTCAGTATCTTGCATCCTATCTTGACAAGAATATGTTGCATTTCATCGGAGAGATTTTCAACATTCAAAAATCTTTCCTGCCTAGAAGGCCTATACAGATGCCCACTGAGTGATGGTAGTATAGGCCAATCTTCGAAAAGATACAACTTTTCACATTGCTCACGCAGATAACGCCAGAAAAGCACAAACCACAAAGAAGTTGGATGAGTACAATTGGAATCTGGGTCCCAAAGGACTTTCTTCTTGTATTTCCATACAGCAGGTACAAATTCAGAAAATAAGGCAACAAATTCACTTGAACTAAAAATGGCTAGATTTGCCCCTGAAACCTTTGATATCGCCGTTAATCTGGTTAATAGGTGGAGGGGAATACTCCTATCGACTAATCTATCAGAGATTTGTTGAAGAAGCTCATATTCCAACTCATTGCAAATAAAATAAGTAATCCCTTCTGAGGATCTGGACAATGATCCAAAGTCACCATTTGCCAACGGAATCAAAGGCAGGTAAGATGCATCAGTACCCACATTATTGTCAATCAAGTCCTCAAGGCAATATTCCAACAGCATAAGCTTGGAGGATCTGTCTATTGTATTTGTAAATTTGCAGCGTCTCAAATAATGACGTACGGAATCAGGTGTCACTACTTTCTGACGAATACCAGATTTGCAGTTTAGGAGCATATTAAATAAGTTATTAGGCAAATGAACAACAGGCATTCCAAGCTGGGCAAGAATGTCACCTAGATCCTTACTTCCTGAAATATCTATGTTGTGAAGAAAAGCTTCTCCAGGCGAAATCCACTTTCCATCTTCAATATCTGAATATAAGACAGGTGAACCACTTATGCCCCTGTAAATGTGCTCGACTAACGAATTCCATGGATCTTCAAACGAACCAATGGGCCACAAAGAATAATAGTGCGTTGTTGGACCTAGCAATGGTTGCACACCAATTAGTAATTTAGCAAAACTAGGAGCAACGACATCTTCCAGGAGAAGCTTGTTCCAGACAGAACGAATTCTTCCAGATCTGTCCATATCATCACCATACCAAATGCCACGACGATTTGAAGAAACCTCAAAATATCCGTTGATGTGCACATGAAGACCAGTTTTTACAGGCAATGGGAGAAAACAGAATGCCCGGCCTAGCTTATGAAAGTCATCCTGTCAAATACCACATAAAAATAAATTGATGATTATGCAATCGAGTCCAACATGTTTGGCTATGAGCTTGAACTTTCTTCCTTCCCCCACTTTTTTCCAGGGAAAGCAATACTTGACCACTCAAAAGGAGAAAAGATAGGGGAAGATTACACCATATTATACAGAGAACCGTCCCTGCAAATTGGAAATATATGCACAGACGCATATCTGATATAGTATAGTAAACTTTAGAAACTAATAACGTACACCAAGCATCCAGGAAGGAAGCATATTTGAGGTCTGCACTATCATGCCTAAAAAATCACCCTATGATCAAGTTTAAGAAACATCCAAGGACAAAAGGATCGAATCATCCTGGATGCGTTAAAAGCCTTATCACAACATGTTGGGGGACAATTTCCATCTCATGAGAACCATAACATATAGGATAAAGTAGAGCAATAACAAGGTTCAACAGCTTTAAGCATTAGCTATATATAATTAGTTTCTCTTATCAAATCTTATATGCTCAACCACGGCTGACTGTTATAAGCTATTTTTCAAGTTTTTTTTGGTCCCCTTTCCATAAGCGAATTCTCATTAACTTGAATATATGAAAAAAATATTTACATTCGCTGACCCATAAAACCCGTCACATATGCTATTACAAAATGAAAATAGAAAAGAAAAATGTATAATACATGCAATAATTGCAGAAAAGACAAATATATAGAACTATATATTCAATACCAAAGGCATAGCTCATAGAAGCACAAATTGCCCTAAAGCAGCAGGTGCAAAAGGAATGTTCAATATATTCAGCAAACTCGCTCACCTTCAAATAATGAGCCACAGCTACCTTTATAATACATATAAAAGTATAAGAAGCCCAATATTGTGAGTATATGCAATAAGAAGCTCGGGCTATAAATATACAAATATAAATTAAAGTGTGCAAGTACGAAGACCCTGAAAATACACAGATGTCCACATAGAAAAAGGGAGGGCATAGAAAAAGGAGAAAGGGAGGAAAAGAAATATCACCAACACATCTAGTAGTAAGGTACTGAAATTACATTGTGTGAATTGTCTGATACGCATGCTGCAACTGATGCCCAAGGCAATAGATGCATGTCATAGTCCTTTGCTGCAGATTCTGCAAAAGCACTTATTCTACTGGATGCCGGAGCCATTGTTTGCACAATGTAGAACTTGTTGGTCTCCATATGAGAAACACTTCCAGTCATAGCCTCACTCAAGAAGTCCAACGAGAACGCATCCATCTCTCCATTACAAGAATATGCAGATTTTGAGAGTCTCAGAAGTGCCTGGCGATGCCAGACCACATTATCATTTGCCGAATCAATGGAACAACGATAAATTTTTCTCGGTTCAGGCATGCCCGTATCCCATATATACATTTCTATTGATAGTAAACTTTTAAGAAAAAGGAGTGATAGAACTCCTTCCTCGTAAAGCTGAACAAACATGGAAGATAAATCATCTTCCAGATAGGGTTGTTTTGAGAGCTTGCTATTTGCAGCTTGATCTGCATTTCTCAAAGGAAAACGGAACAAAGTTCCAGCAAAAGGGCTTTTCATGTCACAACCAAAAGCACAATATGGAAAAAATTGATCTTTATACAGTGAGACGGCTGAAGAACTAACATACTCAATTCGCTTTCCAGGATTAGCAGCAGAAATATTGGGAAGATAAACACCCTGGGGATCAAATAGTACCACATGTTTTCCACTTACAAAAGAGGGCAAGTCTGTCAGGTGATACACCGAATTGAAACCCACCCTATAAATAATTGAAGTTAGAGATATATTGATTGAAATAAAAAAAAGTTCAATGCAAAATTGAAGCTTAGCAAAGAACTTATAGGTATACCCACAATGAGCGTTTCAATGTCAAGAAAAAAATGAAGAATATCAAAATCTTCTGTCGCAACTCGCAAAAGTGCTTCATTGACAAGCAACTATTAAAAGTAAGAATTTCACATTGCATATGACCAAACGCAAAACTAAAAAATTGGATGCAAGAGTGCTTCTGTTACAGGATATTGATTATAAAGGAAGTAACCCATATGACACTACTCAATCTTGTGTCATGGGCTAATGATTGACTAGATACAGAGAAGAAATATTCTCCTATTCCAAAAAGTGTCTATATTTCAAGTTTTGTTTATCCCAGATAATTGCCCAGCTTTAAAAAGTTGAAGCATTAAGGTTTCAGGATTCCAATTATCACAGTTGAAATCAATAAGTGACACTGAAAGTATTTTATTTTAAATTAGCGTTAGAGAGTTCAGAGAAAATGACACAAAATGGATTGCGGATGATTTTTTTTTAAGGAACATACAGAAAAAATAAATAAATAGAAGAAAAAATGTTAACTTGACGATATTGAAGGGAACAGCTGATGCATCCAAGTCAAATTGATGAGCTTCTGAAAGGCGGAATTGGGACCACAAGAGCTTTTTTCAGTTAAACTCTTTGTGTTCATAGAGTAAAACTACACCCTTACCTCATAAAAATGTTGAGTTTGAAAGACTGAGTAATTACAAACACAAATTCTAAGTGTGGCAAGCATTAAAATATCCAAGTGGCTTGAAATGGAAAGTACAACAAATAAAATGGGAAGAAACTCAATGGGTAACAGTGACCATAGCCTATGAAAAGAAAAAGAAAGAATTTAAGTGAAATTAGAAAGAACAGAAGTCTGAAGTACAAGGATAAATGCTATGTAAATGGTATGCATTGAACATCTTCAGTCTGCACGGGGGGGCATATGATGAGACAAGCAGAATGGATGAAAATGTTAACAAAAGTCTTACTTTCTAGTTCTAGAATTCTAAATATAGTACAATACCATTAATCTTGGGATTAATTTGTACTGATTGTAATTATCCTATTTAGTAGTAGTATGATTACTTAATTTTAAGAATGTACCTAGACATGTAATGTACCTAGTTTGTATATAAATCTATCAATTATCAATGAAAAGGTATGACAGATTTCTCCATAATTTCTTTATGGTATCAGAGCTAGGGCAAACAATCTGTCCTTCATATGTTTTGATTTTTTAATCACCTTCATCAACTTTCATTGCTATAATTGTTCTGTCATCTCTAGTTTTCTCAAAAATTTATCTATTATTTTCAAAAAATCACTACCATGTCTTTCCTATCTGAGTCTTCCAAAGCTAATGCATCTTTTGAGACTGTTACAGGAGTCCATTCAAATGAGCTCGGAAGTATTCAAGCTACCTATCGCCTCAATGGAAGGAATTACATGATGTGGTCTCAAGTGGTTCGTACGAAACTCAAGGCAAAAGGAAAACTCCAGAAGGCACCAGACAGGGACGATCCCAAATACGAGGCGTGGGACGTTGAAGACTCTTTAATCATGTCATGGCTAGGGGATTCAATGCATCCAGAAGTAAGCGGAAATTGCATGTTCTTGACAACTGCAAAGGAGATCTGGGAAACTGTGAAACGGACATATTCTAAAATAAAAGATACTGCCTTGGTCTTTGAAATAAAGACTACGATTCAATCAACCAAGCAAGGCAATCTGTCTGTCACTGAATATTACAATGCTTTGAACACCTTATGGCTTGAACTTGATTACTACCATAACATTAAGATGAATTGCAGTGACGATGCCTCTTTATTATTTAAGTTCATCGAAGGAGAAAGGATCTATGAGTTTTTGGCAAGATTAAACATGGAATTTGATCGAGTTCGAGTCCAAGTATTGGGAAAAGAAGAACTACCACATCTTAATGAGGTCTTCGCTATTATTAGAGGAGAGGAAGGGAGGAGATCATTCATGATAGAGGCCCTGGCCCTTAAACAGAAAGGATCTGCTCTATTGTCCACCATTGAGGCCTCTAAACCCGAAGGATCTGTCTCATTGTCTACAAAAAGGTGAACAGCCAAAATTCTTACCAACTGAAGCAAAACAATCGTGATCGGTCCAGGAATAATGACTTAATTTGTAACTATTGCAAAAAGAAGGGACACAAGAAAGAAGATTGTTGGAAATTGAAGGAAAAAACACAATCAGACAGAAACTACAATGGGAACTACTATGGCAACAACTCTCAGCCAAATTCTATGAATCAAAAGCAATGGAATTGCAAGGAAATGTAGCTGTTACAGGCGAAATATTAGACCAGCAAGAATTTTATATGTTCAACAAGGAGAAGGTTGAAAAAATTCGAAGTCTACTCTGTACAATAGACAAGCCAACTGGTTCATATTCCTCTATAAATGCAGGTACCTATTCAGTCCAAGCTCTCTCTGCCTCATTAAATAGCAATCATAGCGAAGCATGGGTGATAGATTCAGGAGCCACGAATCACATGACCAACACACATCTCAGTTTTCTTCATACACTCCCTGTTCTGGACACCAGAAGATTCGGGTCGTAGATGGAAATTTAGCTTCTATAGCAGGAACATGAACTATTTCAATCACTCAATCTATTATTCTTAAATCTGTACTTCATGTGCCTAAATTGTCCATGAACCTATTATCTATTCCAAAGTAAACTAAAGATTTGAATTGCAAAGCAGTTTTCTCATCTGACAAGTGCACTTTTCAAGAACCAGCTATGGGGAAGATGATTGGGCTTGCTAAGGAGAAGGACGGGCTGTACTACTTAGGTACCAGCAGTGGCAAAGAGGAAATGTAAGTAGCTTTTTCTTATTTATCAGAATCATTAACATCAAATAAAACCTAGATATGGCTTCATCACTATAGGTTAGGGCATCCCTCATTTCATGTACTCAGAAACATGTTTCCTCATCTGTTTAAGGGAATTGATACATCTTATTTTCAATGTGAATCATGTCAATATGCCAAACACCACCGAGTGTCATTTCAACCACTCAATAATAAATCGTTGTTTCCT